GAGCGAATAATGAATGATCTTGCACATCTGGCTTGGGTTTTCGTGTGAATATGACATGTGACAAAGCATGCATTGTATTAAATTGAGATTTTTAATACATGCATTGTCAGTTTAATATTATTAAATTTTTTTAATCATAAACTTATTACATGCTCACTGAAACATAATACCTGTACATGCATATGGTTGTATTATCCTCCATTATAAAAATGCATACTACTAGTACATGTGAATACTGTAGGTACATGTATGTCTCAGATGTGTTTTTTGCTGATTGTTCGCTGCCCAATCAATTGGCTTTTTTTAGATGACTTTTTCAATACTGAAATGATTATTTGAAGTTCAAAATGCAAAGTTGAGAGATGTGATGACTTTTTACTTTTATTTAATTTTAATGAAGTTTTAATTTTGATGACAATTTTTTTAAATGTGGAACCAGCTATTTGCAGGACCATTTATTTGATGGTGAGCATATCATTTAAATCATTCTCATGTCACAGCCTTGTTATTTATAGATTATTTATATTATTTGAATATATGTTTTAAAATAAAACGTATCTAAACAAACTCAAAATCTGCTGCTTTTCGTTATTCTTTATCACCAAAAATAACTTATTTTGACATACCACATATGCATGTATATTGACTTACAGTCAATAGGCATGAATACTCTAGCTGCAGGTTATTAGTGATTACTGTGTTTTAAAAAAATATTTCTTTATATTTTGCAGAGAAAATGTCTCAGGCAAAGGGTAAAAAGCTAATCAACACAGTAGAAAGATGTGTTGATGATAGCTTAGAAGGTTTTGTTGCTGTCAATCCTGGTGCTAGACTTTTACAAGGCCATCGAGTTGTGGTCAGGTCTGACATTGAAGAATATAAAGCATCTGGGAAAGTTGCTGTAATTTCTGGAGGAGGGTCTGGTCATGAACCAGCACATCCAGGTATGGTCAGTGGCAGCAAAGCCAGCAGACATCCCCCCTAGCTATCCCGTGGATTGCCTTTTAGTACATTTTTCTGGATGCTCTAGGTGTGGTACTGCATATCACAATTGTCAGGTCTGAGTATAATGAAAAAAATTATCTGTTTATGTGTTAGATGTGTAAATATTTTAGGACCTGCTCTAGATTTGGTGAAGAATTTGTTTTGGTTTTATCTCTATAAAAGTTTTTAGACCCTGTCAGATGTCATATTTTTATATATGAACTTAGTATGTTATCATTAAGAGGAAAGGAATACATTTTCAAATGATTTTTAACATGCTTTGTATAAAACATATATACTAGTAGTTATTTTTCCTGTGTATAGGCTACGTGGGCCGTGGTATGCTGAGTGCTGCAGTATGTGGAGCAGTATTTGCCTCTCCTCCACCAAACAGCATATTGGCAGGAATCAGGGCAGTAGGAAAAGGAAACAAAGGTAGGGAAAATACATGCATAAATGTGTAAGTACTCTCAGTTTTGTATTGAGATGAGGCACTTGGCTTATTTTAGCATTGTCTTTCTGTTCATCTTTTTGCTTTTTTCTTTTGGTTTAAGAAAGCAAATTTGATAAGTTTTAGTTTTTTATTGATCAAGTTGGTGTGCAAAGGGAAAAATATGCTTACAGTCATAGAAATCTTATGATGGGATAAAAGTATATGCTTTGCACAATGTTTTATTTGCAGGAATAATAATGGAATAATATTGATTTGTTAATTAGCAAATACTAATAATTATCAGTTACTATATTGAATCTTAGGTGTTTTTACAAAACATCTACTAGTACTGCATTTTGTACATGATTTTTGTCTAACAACACAAGTTATTCCATTATTGTTATCTTTTGCTATAATCTAACAATTTTTTTTTATCTGTCTAATGACTTGATAACTATAAAAATTTACATTTTGATAACCCTTAACTTTCCCTTATGCTATTTTACATCAATGTTTCTTAACATAAATTCCACATATCATACCATGCTTTCATATCATTTAAATTCTCTCCTGTCACTATGCACATACTAGAATGTACTCTTTTTAAAATATCTTAACTGCCCCTTATTTGCACAGGAGGTGTGTTACTGTGCGTTGCTAACTACACTGGTGATAGACTAACGTTTGGCATTGCATTTGAGAGAGCCAAGAGAGAAAACATTAACATTAAAATGGTTGTAGTGGGAGAGGATTGCGCTTTGACAAGTGCTGATAAATCAGCTGGGAGGAGAGGAATGTGTGGATTTATTGTGACGTGGAAGGTATTATTTCCTCATGCTGGAACAAAACATGGCTGCTGCATTTGATTATCACTTGATTTCAAATATGACCTGCCTACCTGTTTGTCGACTTGTTTTTCAAACAATTACATGCAGCATTTTGGCCAGTGGGAAAGTTTTGTCTCAAGTAAGACAATGATTAGATATATATTTTTTCAATTTAATTTTCATTTTGATTTGTAAAAAAGAATAATAATAAAATTTAGAAAATTAGGCTGATAAAATCTAGCTATTTGATTAGAAAAGAAACAAACAGATAAGAAAATCGAACTGTTTGGTTCTGTCTTTTTGGCTATGGCATAAACAAGTGCTCATTTACTAAGCAGTTGGCAGGTTGTTTTGTTTTGAGGAATACTGGTGGTGGTTTTATATAGATTAACAATTCTGCCCACTAATATTTGCTTCATTTGGAATCATAACCTCTGATGTGTAGGTGGTGTTTTGCTGGTTGTGAAAAACTACACTGGGGACAGGATCAACTTTGGCCTGGCAGCAGAAAGAGGGAAAAGTGAAGGAATAAAAGTGGATATGGTAGTAATAGGGGAGGACTGTGCTCTAACTTCACATGATAAAACGGCTGGAAGAAGGGGGTTAGGTGGAACTATATTTCTGCATAAGGTACTTGTTTGACACTACATATATGCTTATGCGTTTCATAATAGATACTACGTAATGTCAGCTAGGGGCTTAAAGGCAGATTCATAGAGCTCTGCTCAACATTCATCAATATATTTAATTTATTTATCATATATGTTTAATGAAGTGGGGAAAAACAGTCTTAAAGTGTGTTTTCAAAAACCTTATTTATTCCACCTATCTGCTATATGACTTGTTACTGGGTACTTATCACTTTTTTATTTTGTGGTTGATGTACCATATGTATTTTTATTAGTGGGTTTTATATTTACAGCCAGGAAAACAACCAGTTTGCACTGTATTTCACCCATCCAATAGATAGAATTTTAGTTCACTGAGTATTTGTTATAATTTTGTGATAATTATTTGTTCCAGAGCAGATCATTATCACATGATGAAAAGATAAATGTTTATCATCCAGGAATTCCTTATAGTTGAAAATAACGACCATAGGCTTGCAATCATCCTTAGCTTTAAAATGAATTCAAATTTTTATAACGGATGATTTACCAATATGGAAATAGGTTTCTTTCCTTATGCTTGTATATACATAACTTTTTGAAATGGATTACAGCCAGTTATATTTATGGAACAGAAAAAAAGCTTACATTGTCTTGCATTATTTGTTTCAAAATACCTTAAGTCAGTTCTTTATGCTTTTGTGATATATATTTTTTTCTGAGATTTTGAACTGTCAGCAAAATAAATTATATGCAGGGCTTTGATTTTTTTACCATCCTGATTAAAAATTCAAGTTTACAGGGATTAAGCTTCTTTCTTTGACACTCAGATATGGTTTTAAAATGCCTTAGGTTTTTGTGTCTGTTACATTTAGAAGCTTTGTCTGAACTGGTGAGGAATTTGACCATGGTTATCTTGTTAAATACTGGTATTTATCACAGCTTGCAGGGGCCCTAGCTGAAGAGGGAAGACCACTGGAAGAAATTGTTAGCATATGTACTGAAGCAACACAAAATATGGGTAAATAAGTTTTTCAATAATCATTATTGTTTTAATAGTTGATATTAAAAGATTTATACATGGCCTGGATCACAAAAAAGGGGAGTGTGGATGGAAATAATTAAAAGGTTGAATTAAGGGATAGGTAATGTAAAAGTTACAGAACTTATTAAATTCACATTATGTTTTTATTTTAGTGAGTCCTTGTAGTACGGAACTACTTTTGTTTGTTTAGTTACATTTCTGTATATTTTTACTATTAATTCACAAACTTTATGGTTTTATTGCCAAATATAATTCCAAATGTATAACTGATGTTGGATGTTCCAGTTGGTCAGATTGAAATATTAGTTTTGAAACAGCCTTTTGCTGTTTTAACATTTCTTGCCTGACTAAATCAAAAGGCATATTTCTTTTTAGTTGGATTTTATGACAGGAGGACTAATAAGAAGTAGCTTTATTTTTGAAGGTACAATTGGCATAGCCTTGTCTCCATGTAGCCTTCCTGGTCAGGGACCTACATTTCAGCTTGGAGAAGATGAGATGGAACTTGGCTTAGGTACTGTGTATTCTTCCATGGTTATAAAAGTATACAGTTAGATCTGTGTGTTTCTGAGAAGTCTTTTCTAAGTTAATATTTTTTGATATGGTAGAGGTCATGATTATCAAGGATTTTTTTTTCAATTTTTATGATAATTCTGAATTGTTTTCCCTATGGTATTCAGGAGTCCATGGTGAAGCAGGGGTGAAGAGAATGAAGGTATGCTTTAGATTGTATCAATAAGTAAATCTTTCTGAAGGTGAGCTTTAAGTGGTATAAATATTTTTCTGAACAGAAATGTTGTAAGCAGTTGAAAATATTTAATTAACATTTTTCTCACAAATAAATCTTTATTTTAGATGTTAACAGCCAAGGAAACAGTGGAAGCTATGATTGCCCTCATGACCAACAAGAACAGCAGCACACATCTTGACATAAATAAAGGTAAATGTCCAATTATTAAATTCATATTGAAGTCATGGATTATAGGATTAACTATACATGTAGTTCTAATGATTCACAGAATTTCTCAAAGAATTTGACTTTTGATTGTTCAATATAATTTACTGTCACTTATGTCTAAAATCCATACCTTTATT